TCCCCAGTGTGGGGCATGGGACATTTGCAGACCTGAGCCCTGGCAGGCTGGTAATGCCTGAGCCCCCCCGTTGCAGCTGGGGCTGGGACCATTGACCGCTTGGCCACGATCACCCTGCCCTGAAGGCTGAACCCTGTGGCCTCCTGTGCAGCCTGGGCTGGGCGAGCGGGGTGCAGGCTGGAGGCCGGCCTGCGGACAGGCGTGCCAGGACTGAGTGGGAAGAGGGCATATTGGGCTTGAGCTGGGCGTAGACAGTGGAAGAGAGCAGTGGGCAATAGCCCCCTGTGGGAGGTCAGTAGTAAGGTAGCGGGGCAGAGATCCTAGTTTCAGAGTCAAAGGGGCGGAAGGAGGTGAGTGTCCAGGTTACTTTTTCTGCAAGAGATTCTAACATTCATCAGAGCCATAATGTCGCTGGTGTCTGGGTCCTGTTGTGGATTAGGAAAGGTATCTGGGAGTATGTGAGACCTCCCCAACATGAGCCTATAAAAGACAGGCAAATAGTTGGCTGCAGTGTTGTAATATTTTCCTTGTCGCTTACTCATTAACCCAGATCCACTGCTCTATGTTAGCCCTTGAGTTCCACGTACCCGTGTGTTTGCTGAGCTGAGTTCCTCACACACTGAAGCGGGACAGTCTATAGTCACACAATGCTAGGTGGGATCTGCTCTGCATCTGTTGCTGCTTCAGGAGAAAGTGTTGACTCTACATAGTATAGCTGAGTGACCCATGATGTTGAGGGTCACAATTTAAATTGCGCACTTTAGCGAAGTCCAAACACCCACCTTGTTCTGAATCTGCGGTTTGATGCCCCATATTCCCAGTCCTGGAACACCACGGTGTGCAACTCCCTGGCCCAGCACCCATCCAAATGAAGCCCTTGTGCAGCTGTGATTGACACACATCTGGCAAGGCGAGCATGACATGGCCATGGCTAAATCCCCAAGGGATCATGACTGGGTCATGCCATTTAAGTGCTGCTTTCTGTCTGGCAAGGTCTGTGTTTGCTCCCCAGCTCTTCCATGTCAGTATCAAGCTGGAGCAGCATTATCACTCTTTGTCTTCTCCTATTTGATTTGCAGGCTTCAGCAGTTTTCTGGATATTTCTTCCAACATTTTCAGCTCTCAGACATTTCACTATGTTCAGCCTGTGCTCTTGTCTAACAACTTCCTGCCATCTCTTAGGCATGCCGTGATCCTCCAAGGCTCACACCGATTCTTCAGAGCAACTGCATCAGAGGGATGCCTTGCTGGTGACTCCTGCAAGGTGTTGTAAAGAGGATGGATGCCCAAGAATTCAACATTATAAAGACTGTACATACCCGGAGCTGAAACATCAGTGCTGTTAGGGTTAAGACAGTCTGTTTGCCCTGACAGTGCTGCAGGTGGGTGGATGGGAGAGATGGGAATGAGAGTCACATACCATATTTTCTTTCAAGAAAGGACAGACTTACACAGCTGCCCATGTCTGCCATGGCAGAGAACGGGCGAAAAGTGCTTCCTTTTCGGTCTAAAGTTTAATACTGAGCTTTCCCTGAACGGTGGGATGTAAAGGCTTATACCCTCCCACATGGTCTCTCATAGCTGACTCCCTGCTCAGCATCCTGTTTTCTGAGACTCTGCTTCTTTTAATAATTCAAGAGAGACTTGGAGAGCTATAGGCCTATCCAAAGGGACATTTATTCCATCTGTAGATATGTGTAAGACAAACCACAGGAATCACTATCCTGCTGTTGCATCTTTTTCTCTTTTGCAGTGGCTTGATGGATTTGAGATAGCTGAAATCTGATGATGTGAACCTAACATTCAGCATCCCAGCTCCACAGTCACTCCTATGAACTTAGACTTAAATTATTGACAAGAACATAGATGCAGAAACATGGTTGAATTCAGCGCGAGTCAGGGACCTAAACACTGTTGAGGACCTGAGTTTACCTTTCTCAAGCCAGCCATCCTAGCTTAACAGCTTCTTTGGAAATCAATCTTTGCCATGAAGCTCTTGTATACCTAAGGATACTATACGACAAGTATGATGGACAACAATATCATTTTGAGCCTAAAATCATTACTGAAGTACCATATCAGAACAGTTTAGCATACGGCAGGTTGCAATAAAGAAAGCAAGGGCTTAAATGTACTGTGTTTCTTGTGCCAATGGATGAAATGAGCGCACGAAGGAATGTGATTCTTTAGTGTATGCAAATTTATTCAACTCTGCAATTATTTATTTACAACTAATGACTGATACCAACGGATGAGGTAAAAATATGAGGTATTGATATGAGTATAACATTTAAAAATGCAATTATCATAATGTATTCTCAATGGCAATGTAACAATACAAAATACTGTGGTAGCTGAATGGTAGACATGGCATAATGTGCATTTGAAAGAAATCTTATTTCATTGATACATGGCTTAGAGATGGCAGAAGCACATGACAGAGCTTCTGCAAGGGTAGGAGGACAACCTACCTTGCTAACAGTGGCAGGTGGCACAGGGCCCCTTCCAGCTGAGCAATGACTTGTCGGACAGGATAAAACCACTGTCCAGATTTTCCCTTCATTTCCTTAAGAAATTATTTACTGTCAGACAACTGCCATTCCCAGGGCCAGAAATTCTGCGTCCATTAATACTGAGGCACTATTGTATTCATTTATGCAAACTAATGTAGCAGAAGTGCTCTAACTGCCCGTGTTTTGGAAAACAGCCAGCACAAAATCTGCTGCCATGGCTACAGGCATTTGGGGAGGAGGTGGCATTCCCACTGGAACCAGGGGACTGGCCATACCCTCACCAGCTTGCAAGTCACTGCTTGCTCCTGAGAAGGCTGGACATGAGCAGTGCTGGTGCTCTGCAGCCAGCTGGTGACTGCCAGACCTCAACACAGCCATGTAAGGGTGTGAGTGCTCCCCAGTCTTTAAGACTTAAAACCACACAGTAGTTGCACATTGCAACTATTGTTGGCCATCAACTCAAGGCAGGAGCTCATGGGCAGCCAACCTCCCTGATCCTATGAGTTGTACAACAAAATGTGGGTGAGACAGCTCAGGAAGGAAGATGACGGTGACTTTTTTGGGGTCCTGCTGCTCCATGGGGACACCATGCTGGGTCACCCTGCTCCTGCCCAACCCAAATTCCCACCAGCTTGCTTCCTCGGGTTGCAGGGCAGCCCCCCCACCAACACAGCCCTTACACGTGTGCACCATGGCACATGGGGTCAAGCTCTAGCTGCAATCGAGGACCATACAGTGTCTGCCCCACAGCCCCCATACCCAGGGCAGATTCAAAGCACTGGCTTTGAAGGGACTTCCCTGTTTACTGAATCAGGGCATAAAACTGTAGCTTCATGTAGGAAATGTATCCCACTTTATTGACCTCATACTAAATCTTAGTGGATTTTTTTGGAAGGACTGAGCTAAAGCACTGGCTATGAATGACTCAGCTGGTTTATGCAGCAATAAATAAGTCGAAGTGAACAAATGCGATTAATGAAGAACATTATTAACAGGCTTGTACATTCTTATTGAATCATAGATGTAATATCATTTTTGGTCTTATGTTAGTTAAAAACAAAACAGAACCCTGCCTGAAAGGTAACGTCCACAAATTATTATTATTACTTTTAAAGCATTCTTCCATTAGCAAAATAATAGGTCCCTGAAAATGAAATGATATAATAGGCTTAAATGGCTCCTACTCCTCATGGTGAGGGGCTAATCCTGCTCCCACCAATGCCTACAGAGGCAGGATCATGCAGATCAGTGCAATATAATATGAAGATGCTTGCTGTTACTATAAAAGCAATCTTTCCAAGCATAGTCTGCATTTAGTCTTTTAAATCTCCAAGATGTGTTTAAAAGCTTAAAAAAAAGTTTAGTTAGTTGTATAGTAAGAATATTAAAGGCATGGTATTCATCTGCACGTCTTTGTGTCCACTGGATGTGGAAAATCTGCTTTGGAGTTTCTTAACAATTAGCCATCTCTATGGGAGAATGAAAAAACAACACAGAAACACTTGTTCAGAACCTAGACAAAATGCTTAAAAAAACAAACAAACAAACAAAAAACATTTACAGCTTAATAACTTACCGGTCTGATTTCAGACACCTCAATACACACAGCATTACCTTGTGCTCTCCAAGAAGGAGCAGTTACTTTGAACGCTGCACATAGTGAGATTTCCAAGCGGCAGATATACCATTAATTAAGGCAATAGGTAACTTTTCAACACCTTGTACTAACAGTCACAAACTTTCTGCAGCTGAATGTAAATGGCCTTCAAAGTGTCTATCTCAGTTACATTTCCATGTATTTTATTTGGTGAAACTGATCCACTCTCATTATTTTTAAACGTACAGTAACCTCCCTTCCTCCTTAGTTCTTCTAATTCTTCCTACATCTATTTCTAGGTACCTTCTCACAGCATACACAAACATGAAACATATTTGAGAACAGGCGTTTCTGTTATCACACAGGTTATGCCCAGTAGCCCTGTGATAATAGCAAACACAGCTTATGTAGCAGTGACACACTAAGAAACAAATGACAGGTTCATTTAAGGTCCAACTGATGCAAGTGATTTGCACTGAGTTATATACAAAATAATTAATTTATACATATACATATATATAGATAGATACAGTATAAATATATACATACTGTACATAATTTATTTACAATTAAAATATGCTTCTTAGAAGCCTTTAAATACCAGAGTTATGTAACACACAAGTAATGGCAATAGACTGATTTAAAAGTAGTAATGACAAAAGCTCTCTGAAGAAATGTTTACTTCAATAATTGAAATTAATACAGAAGGGACGTGGCAGGGGGGAGGTAAGTCTCCAGAATAAAAGAACTTTCCTATAAAATTCCTGTTTCACCTTTGTTCAGACCCAGGTCTGGTCAGACTTCTGTAGCTTAAATAAGATCTTTGCTTTCAGCCTTCCTGTTCCCTGCCAGACCCCGATTTACGCTTACACGCTCCCAGGAACACTTCCTCAGATTTTCGTTTCTGGTCCCTCAGCAATCAAAGGCTGAAATGAGTTTCTGATCCTGGCAACTTCTGCTGCACACAGATGTCCAAAGCCTTTGTTGTACCACTCTGGGGAATGTCCTCTGAAGAAATGGAAAGACAATTATTGAGAAACTCAAATACTCAAGAAATATGCCCCGCAGGAATGGGCTTGCCATGCTTCCTACTCCCCGCTGCCCACAGTGGCGGTTGGGACTTCAAATACTTGTTATTGTAAGCGTACTCTGAAGTTCTCCCTTGCAGTAATCAAATAAGCAGATTTTATTTCTATGATCACATCATAACAGTGGTAGATGCTGAGCAGAGAAATGAGCTTAGTGGATAGAAAAAAACTGCAGGAAGACTCCAAAGCAGCAAAACTACATTGACCGTGTCCTCTGTTCCCAACACCCCCTCCCTCCCCGAGCTTGAGGTTTTTGCCCTGCTGAATGGACATCTGCCTTTTGCGGGTGGGATGCTTACTTTAGGTCAATTCTGCAGATATGGGTCAGCCTGGCTTTTCCGGAGCCACATGGCTCTATCAAGTACTGAGAGTCCATCACGACAGCTCGCACAGCTCCCATAAGAGGAGCCTCTTCGTGCTCCACAGAGATGGCAACCAGCATGCACGTCCCCTTTGGCAAATCAGTCCTCCATGTCCTGCAGCAACACATTCAAGATGGAATCACTTTAGTAATGAAACTTTTGGACACACAAGTAAGAATCCGAATTAAAGTCACAGTTTGCTTGTCTGCCTATCCTTGTTGTTGCCTGCAACGCCACTGTCCTAGGAGTCCCCAGAGGGTTTTTGTGTTCTAAGTTTGTTGTCACTAGCGCTCAAAACAGGCTACAGAAACTTATCAAGCTCAGATTTTAGAGCTAGATCCTCTCCTGTAGATGTATTAATTTTAGCAGTGGGTACCATAATTTTAGTAAGAACTGCTCAGAGGTTTGGGGATACATGGGTACACAAGGAGGCAAATCAACCCCCCAAAATCCCACCTTCTGAAACAACTCAGGGAAAGATCTTGCAATCAGTGCTATGTACATTATTTTCCTGAAGGATGATATCCACCTGATGCTGCTGTTGTCCCCCCACCCCAGCTGGGAGTCCGGCCATGATGTGGAATGGCCACCCATCTATGTTGCTGCAGGCTTCAGGTGGAGAAGTTTTGCTTCTCCACACGAGCACTTTGTAACCATCATGTGTTACAGACCACGATACAGCCTTTTGCAGATAGACAGAAGTTTTGGAAAGGACATGAAGTGAGCATAAGCCAACGAACAAAGGCTAAAGTGTTGGATTGCACCCACGCAGATTTACAGAACAACAAATACAGTTTAGCACAGCAGAAATCCTCACTACCACCTACACTGACTGCTGAAACTCCAAGAACAAAAAAAAAAAAAAGTGTCCTTTCATGACAAGCATTTATTTAATCAATCACATTAATGTACAATACTCCTGGTGATGATAAGTATAAATGCAGCACATTTTACCAGGATGTTCTGCTGCTTATATCCAATGACACACAGCAGCTGAGGAAAGTCTCCTCAGGTGGCTGCTGGCAATTACATGATGGACATTTGCCACCACACACTCCAAGCAGCAATGGCAAAGTAGGGTCTTGACATGGTTTGTTTGTTGGAATAGCTAAAGGCTAAAATTTCATGTTTACTCCTATAGGAGCGATAGTGAAGTTGAGGCTCCCTTTCTTTAGGTAGGCTTTGGTTTGCTGCCAAGCAAACGATTGAACCAACATCCTCGCCAACTGTCCTAGAAGGACTGGTCAACCAGGCACCCAAAGGCATTGCTTATCTGTTTGCTTCCTTTCTCCTCACTGTCACTCCAAAAAGAGACACCTCTAGGAAAGGTCCTCCTCCTTTCCAATGCCAAATAGCAAGAACCAACAAGCTTTTTTGAAGCCTCTGCTAACATAATCATGTGCTCATCTACCTCTTCTCCCAACAGGATCTATGCTCCATGTTCTTTTCCCTTACAATAGAAAAAGGGTGTTTTCTGGACCACAGAACCACGTTCTGTCTCACCACTGTTACACAACTACTGAGTAAATTTTACTTGGGAAAAAGTAATATAACAGTGAAATTTCATGACCGTGTCACCATATATGTCAGTTAGCCAATGACAGGTAGTTGTTTTTTTATTATCCATGTGTTTCTTTTCACAAGTACTCAGCTTTTGGGCTGGCCTGTTAAGATGTATTTTTATTTTGAGCTGTCAGTCATTTCATTCCCTCCCCCTCCCAAGTTTCTAGCCTCTCTGATGTGCTGTGGAAGTTTTCCACCAGGTTCAGAAGACCTAGACTTTAGTATTTAACCTTTTTTTATTGTTCTGTAAGCATTCTCTACATACTCTGGTGTCTCACATCACCTTGAATCTCACAGGATAGGTCTATGCTCTTTCCTATGCTGTGGGAAGAAATGAGAAATTCCCACTGTGCTGCGTAATGTGCATCCATCACCATGGACTGTCTGAGACAGGGATTATGCTACCTTGGGAAGTATCATGTTTTAGCAGGTAAGCTGCTTTCAAGGACTGTTGAACTTTGGACTTCAGCAGATAATTTTAACATTCTGCATGTTTCTTATATGAAATTGAGCTGTTATTCAAGACAATGCAGGAAGATACTGACTTCAGAAAGTTTTACGTGTGTCTGTGCATTAATAAAAATGATGAGCTATCTTGGCTGATGAAACACATGGAGAGTAGGAAATCACCTCAGGTCTACTGTGAAATACTGAACCATCTACTGTGAATGCCTGCACAGTGCTTAGATGTGACCGTATCATCTTGGTAACTATGCAGAACTTACTTGGGCCATTTGTGAAGTGGAAAACTATGTATCCCAGAGATTGCAGAGGATTTATGGTTCCTATTCCCAGTTATACAGATTTAGGCCAGTTTCTGTACTTCTCTAAATATCTTACAGTAGTAAAAACGAATATGACACCTAACTCACAGAGATGCTGTGATACTTAACGAACATTAAACACTTGAGGAATCTTTAATGAAAAGTGATGCCTGTGCAGGGCAGCTGAGAGCTGTGTCAGATCCCAGGCATATGAAACATCACCCCTCTTACCATTAGAGTCTTCTCAAGGGAGCCTAATCCCCTTGTTATGACTGTCAAATTAAAAAAAAAAAGCAACTAAGTTTATCCTTTCACAGCCAAAACTTTGATTGGGAAAGAGAAAATTGCTGTCCGTTAAAATATATTATCATGTCCTCAGAGGTGATTTATAATTTCACTGTTCACTTCCCACCAATCATAAGGTATCAAATTGACTGCGATATCGCTGGCTAACCTTGCTCTAGACTTAATGATATAAATCAAAAGAGATAAACAACAGACTCTGACAGATCTGCCTGACGGCTGTTTTCAGCCCTTAAAAACCCACCAGGATTCAGTTTTATGATATGTATTTCAGTCCTTGGAGGTCATTCTGCCTGGGTTAGTGAAAAGAATGAGGACTCAATGGCAAGATTTTTCTTTAACTGATGTGACTGCACAGCAGGTCTTTAAAGAACATAAAACACCATGAAACCTAATAGTGAACTAAGTGGCAAATAAGAGGACAGAATTACGGTCATCAAAACCTCTCCAGTGCTCCCAGGAAGTCTTCTTGGTGCTATGTGGAGGGCCAAATTTATCACTGGTTTAAGTCAATTACATAAGAAAATTAATTATAAAATAATTAATTTAGCCCAGTATACTGTGGGAAGCAAAGGAAATAGAGTAATGGGAGAGCTGGTGTTTTCACATTATAAAGAACTTACAGAAAATATTTTTAAACTCTTCCCCTAAGAGTTCCAATAATTCTTCCCTTATACCAACAATATCTGCATGTTACCATTCTTTAAGAGAATACTGAAGTTCATAGAAGCAATGTACTGTTATAATTATTTTTTACAGGGCTCATCTTTTTCCTTCAATCTTTGTTCCCTCTAATACAATTCTGACTCACTGGACTATTTCCTTTGTCAAAACTGCTTAGTATTTCTCTAGCACATCATTTCAATCAAAGCAAGCAGGGACCAAGAATGGGAATGTACAAAATCATCCTGAAATAAATAACTGTAGGACTGACCCTGTAAGTGAAATATGTCAGCAGCTCCACAATAAGTCCTAGCAAGCAAGGGCCAGGATTTTTAAGGCAGAAGATGCATAAGAGGAATTTATTTTGTCTGTTCTGTACAGGCAGATAGACAATGGCAGAACTGGGACTGAATTTAGAATATTGATACAGAGCTATACATTTATTTAAGAGATGTCATCCCCTGGAAGACAGTCAGAATACATATCTACTGCCTCTTTCTGTTCATTTCCACACTAGGATTTTTATAGGTTAGCATTTCTTGGTCTACAAAGACTCCAACTGCAAATCTAAAATAACAACTTACATACACACCGTACAACAACCTTAGCTTAAAAGCATCGCTATCTTCTCTACTAAACATTCAGCTCTTAAACATCAAACATTCCCCAGAGAACAGCAAAAGCAGTGTAAAAACCAATTGGGTTCTATTTGCACTGTTTTGACAACAAACAAAGCTAAGAGAGAACAGCAGCTATTATCAGACATCTGTTCTAAGGAAGAAATGATATTTATGGCCTCAGGAGTATGTGCTGCTCAAATTACATCAGAGAAAAGGTCAACATGCTGTAGGTGAACAATTTTAATTCAGTCTGAGAAATCAACACTGCTGCCCAGAAGTAGAGTTCTCGAACCACATTTACACAGATGCGAAGGCTGAGATAAGATCAGATCTTCCTGTATGCACTGCAAGAAGCAAAGGTACTGGAGAACCTCCCTTAGGCTTACCTTAGAACGACAAAATCTCGGACAGGATGAGGAGCCATGCTGTTCAAAACATACTGGTAAACTTCTGTCTGCTTGTCCAGGCTCTCGACCACCTTCCACTGCAAGAAGTCCTCGTCCCAGAGGTGACGTTCTCTCAACACTCTGTTCAGGACAACTGATGGGGGGGCTTCAACTTCCACCGAGGCTTTCCAAAGCCTTAGGGGGTTCCCATCCCCAACCTGGAGTAAAGTAACGAAGAACATAACCCCCCATGATCTATATGCATATGTTCAGCAGAGGATAAGTGATGACAGAATCTTGGTATGGGTATCTGGCTTTAGCTTAAGAGCATGCATACTTCCCTGCTAACCATTACTATTATTGCTATTGCTGCTGCTCTTCTGTATGTGAAAACATATGCATACTGGTCCTGGATGGAAAACTGAAGTGATACATTACTTCTGCTCTCACACCACTGTATATCTGGACCAGTTCCCATAGTACCAGTGGAGTTGCTGTAGTATTTCTGGTGTGACAGACACTTTTTCAACACCAAGTATCCTAAGTGTGATGAAGAATGTGTGTGTGTGTAGAAGTAAAAACAGATGAAAGGAGAGACCAAAACCCTGGGCTGAAATAAAGCTACCACCTTGGACAATCTGATGCACTAGTTGGGACTGAGGGTCAATTAACTCTGCTGGTTAATTGGTGGAAAAGCAGAACAAATGTTGATTCACTTATGTGTCAGATACACAGATGTTTGCTCCTTAAAATAGCTGCAAGGAAAGTATTGGGAAAATGCCTTTCAAAGAAGAAACACACAAACTGCTTAGTGAATTACTAAGCAGAAGAGTTTTCCTAGCTCACCGCTCCTGTACTTGTCACACCTCCACAGCATGCAGTAAGGGGAGCAGAAAGTGCTAGGCTACATAAAAGATGAATATCCTACATTCCACACGTACAGCATTTCTGCATGGTTTTAGGGCTGTCATATTTCAGGCAGCAAACAAGTTAACTGTAAGCACTGGATCTGGCAAGCCCTGCTTTTCTAGCCACTCCCTACCCTGGCATCCTCACATACCAGTGCTAGTGCTCCAGACACCTCCAGCACCTCCCACAGACTCAGGATTGTGTCCCTAGAACCACTCCCCCCACCAAACGATTTTATGTTGTTATAATTCCTCCTCCCCAAAGCTCTCAGTTCCCCCATCCTCCTGCCCTAGAGCCTCTGGGGGTCCCAATCCCCTCTGTAGTCTCACATCCCCTTGACCACAGACCTGTGCATGCCCCTATTCACTCCCCCTCCTCTCCCACATCCTATTCCCACCTGAGCCCTCTTACTCCCTCCCCAACCTCCTGCAGTCCCTCCCTGGAAAGGTTACTCATAGAAGCTTGCTACAAACCAGAGTAACTGTGATTTCTTTGCCCTAACAGAGGGGTTGCACTTTCCCAAATAGGGGTAATGCTGCCTCTGTCCCCTAAGACTCCCTGCCCCCTCACCGTCCAGATCCCACACACCTCCCAGTGCCCTTCCCCTACCTTACTCATGTCACCCACCCCTAATCCACCCCCTCCTCTTGGTAGCTGCTGCTAGTTCGCAGATCTCTGTTTTGCCATTGCATTTCCAGCAGCCTTGAACCCCGCTGTCTGCAGGGACCCTGCAGCACCCTCCTCCTGGCTGCAGTGGTCTGGCTTTCCCTGCAGAAGTGACAGAGCCTGGAACAGCTTCAGAAATTTTGATAAAGGTTGCAGATATCAAAAATCGCCTGGAAACAAGGACAAGAAGGTCAGGCATAAAACTAGCCATATGGCTGGCCTGGCTAAGTAAAGCCGCGGGCAGCCTGAAGAGGGTTTTTAAAACCTGTGATCTGACTGTGTTCTCCAAACTGCTGGCAAACAACAGGAGATGGTCGGGAACTTTGCCTGTCCCCCAGTCAAAGAGCTTACCCAGGTAATGTTATCTGTTGTTAAACTCTTAGCTTGCTCTCTGGTTGTGGTGTTTGCTGTATCGCTTACTTTACCCATTTTGGAGACCTTAGCTTGCTTTGTGTGCCTTTTCCTGGAATCTCATACTTGAATCACTGTTTTATTACATTTTTAACTGCTTTTAGTAGTCTTTAAAAAAAAAAAAAAAGAACAAAACGTGCCTCACCAGACAGAAGGGTATGTATTTAGCCATGCAACAAGTCAGCGTGTCCCATAGCTAGTCTGTATTTTGCTTTGGTTTCTTTACTGCTTCTTCCACGTCTCCCCAAATTACCTTTTTGTAGGCGAGTTCTGTGTTCTCTATACTGGAACACGTGACCCATCCTTTGAATTTCTCTTTTGCTTCTTTCAGGAGATTCTGCATGAGACTTTCCAGGTACATCTGATAGTTCCCTCCTTCCTCATCCACTTGTTTCCCGAGCTCGTCCAGGGTGGGAGAATGCACTTCTGCATCGACATAGGAGTTTCGGGACTGGGTGACCATCTCATGTGGGACCTGTGCCACAGAAGGGAGGGAAAACACACAGGGAAAACCTCCTGCTGAGAACTTTTCCTTAAGGCAATGGCCGATGGACCATTCAGCATCCAATTGCAACGAGCCTGTGATCTGTAAAATGGATACCTATTTCTGTCTTTGCTTATTATGCAAGATGAGAAATCAAGGTAGTGTAATGAAACAGTCCATGGCTCAGAATAGCGCTACTCATGCAGAACCATATTAGACTGACCAGCTGCATGTCAATACAGCTGTGTTACTCCTCTAGCCCCCACATATGTTGCCCTGTGCTTCTGGGGAAGGGAGATATGAGGATTCTCTCTCCTCCACCTGCAGTGAAAGATGCAGGGAGACTGCATCTCCCTATGTAATTTTAACTTTATTGCATGACATGCAGAAATAAAATGTATTGGCTCTTCTTTTTGAGATTAATAAGTTTTAATTGAGGTGCTAAAAGCATTATAATAATATGAAATGTTTAAATAGCAGATATTTATTTTAATTAGACTAAAATTTCCTAATCCAGTAATCTGGGTTGAAAACTGCCACAGAGTAATTACCCTGCATTTTTAATAGTTGTGTCTTTGAATGCTAGAAGGGAACAGTCATAAAGAAATGAGATAAATAAACTTTAGATGGAGCAAGTTTACAAATAAGTGAGGCACCATCAATCTCTGAGCTAATACAAGACAGAAAATGTAAGCATAAACATAAATACTTCAAAGGATGCTCCATTACATGGCCATGAATAATGCCGTTTGAGTCTCTCACTCACCTCAAAAAGTTTGTTGCATTCCATTATCATGTGAGCAAGTCCCTGAGTAGCTGCCAGGTTTTCACTGAGGTCCTTCTGATCTGGCTTCCCTGTTGCATATTTTTTCTGTATTACTCTGTAATTGAATTCAGTGTTTCAGGTAAAAAGAGCCGAACCTTTTTCATATGAAAGCAAACAGCAGCAGGAAGTTCAGAACATAAGAGAAAAAAGTCTATCTTTAGTTTTTATTTATCGCAAGGATTGCTCAGACTGTTGGGCCTTTTTTAAAGGAAAAATGTTTACCTAAAATACTGTTGAGCCAAAGATAAAAGCAGGAAAGGTTATGCATGTCCTGCATTAGGTGTTGTACATTTTGTAATGGACTTCTAACAGACATGGTGTACAGTGGTTTACGTTGTTACTGCTTAAAGCACTTGCTCAGACGCTGGTTATACACATACATGACCAAGTATCTCAGTGTATTCTGAAACAGATGGGGGAAAAAAGAAGTCAGAAGGGACAGTAAATTGGGACCACTAATGTTTAGCAGGGTCTATGCCCTGTGTAGTCTACCCTCAGCATGTTACACGCCATCTTAATGTGACCTGAAATAAACTCAGTTTCTCAAGTGGCAGAACATAGCCAGAAAATACAGAGTGAAAAACCACTCACTGAAAATCTGCATATTAAAATCCTTTAAAACATGGTCAATCTTTGACTTCAACCAGAGCAAAATCAGGTCCTTCGCCTTCACAGAAGCCAACAGTACTTCTGCAAAACTCACTAGTGCCCCATTGACATTTCACATGGAAGGCGGACACTCCGTATTCCCAACATACAGCCAGAAATGCCTGCTGGGCTTGTGAAAACACCTTCTGTGCACGCACAAGTGTGCTTCTGCCTCTGCAGCATGGACTTTCCCTTCTCATGGAAGCCATGCCCTGTGTAACGTGTGCTGGAAAGCAGACGCTTTGGAAAATTTTATCCTGCGTACCTATAGAAACACTAAAAGCGTGATTTTGTATTAAGGACATGACTATTTATAGTGTTGAGAAGAAACGTACCTCGGTGAGCTTTCTTTCTTCACTATATTGAGATGGAAGAGGGAAGGGGCCAGACAAACAGCTATGTTCATAGGAGTCATCTGATTCTCCTCCACGGAGGTGACGTCGCTCAGGAAGCACAGCAGAGTCTGCAAAACCTCCCGGTTCTCATCGGACATCAGCATGATGGCTGCCTGCACCGCCTGCAGTCGCTGCTCCTTGGGGACATCTGAGGAAAAGCAAGGGACATTCGGGGGGTCAACTGTAAGATCAGATAAGGGCCAGGAACAAGACAGAGTTAGCACAGGCATTCACACTCTGCAATGGTTTTCTGAAGAGGCTGATGACGGGACGAAGGGGCGAAGACCAGCTGGTTGTTGGAGGGCTGAGGTATTTGCTCCTCTGTCAAGCACAGCTCACGTAGCCAGTGTATGACATTTCTCTGCTCATTTGAAAGGCTCTTTCCCAAGAAAGAGACTGGACTTCATTTAAAGTTTATGAAGGGAGAGTAGTACTCAGTCCTCATATCTCTAAATGGTATTTTTCAGGTTTCTTTTGTCCCCTGGGAAGACAGCTCATAGAGAAGATGACTGGCCGGCCCTTCAAATAGGCCACCCCTTTCATAGGTAAACATTAGGCAACTGAAAGTTTTAGGGAAATAGAGAAAGTTTCATCAATGCTATGCCACATAGACTACTAAAATAATACTCTCATCCCCAATCCTCTGCATTACAGCAAACCAAGCCGTTATGGATATATGAAAGAGGTCCTGGCTATATGAAAAAGTTCTTCAGTGAGTCCCAGAAAATCAGAAATCCCTTGCCAATACACTAAGAGAGGAAAAATCCTTCCTAACTTCACAATAATAATTTGTTAAACAGGATGAAGGGGAAGAAAAAATCCCAGCTACAGATTTATTTAATTGCAGACATTATGAAATACAATTGGTATCCCAGCAATTTGCAACATTTTTCTCTCTGTGGAAGTTTTGTCAGTACTGTCTAAAACAGAAAAACATATTTGTTGTTGGTCACATGGAAAAAACCCACTGATGCTCATTCTTAAACCAAATATTGGTCTCCAGTGTCTACAGAGCCCATCTTTTCCTGTTTCCACCTTGGTTTAAACAGACCCATCCTCAGGTCTTTCTGAAATCCTTTAAAGTACTGGTGCAGTTTAAGAAAATCTTTCATAGCACATTTTTTGCCCTCCCATCAGTGTAAAGAAGAGCCCTTCAGACTTCCCGCTGTAGTACCACGCAGGGTTATAGAGTCAGCCCGTGCCCCTTTTCTACAGCATTTTTTTATTGGCTGGTAGCAGTGTTTCACTCTTCAGCCTTTTGGCTGTTGTGAACCCTAATGCCAGGCTCTCAGCTCAGAGATGGGAATTCCTTCTGGCTACAGACCTAGTAACGCTGATGACATTGGGATCTGCCGCGTCTCTCTTCCTTTGGCAAGGGGGTAGTTTACTTGCAGTCTCTCCTATGGCAAGATAGGGCATTCCCAGTTTTCACTGAGCAATAGTTTAAAGGCGATTTGCTTCCAAGGACATGTAGAACATGCCCTTCTAGTGGATAATCTTCTCCTTGGCCACTTCACTATGGAAATAATTGTGATTGCCATTTTATTAACACCAGGAATTTCTGTTGCTTTTCTGAACAAGCTCGCTAATGTGTGTGTAGGCAGACAAGACCTGCAACTTGTCAGCAAGAAATAAGAGGGGGAAACAATGGTGCAGGGCTAGGCACCAACAGTTTTCAGTTCATTTGTGTCCCAAGACATCATATATGACCAAATTCTTTAAATTTATTTGCGATGCTGTCTCTCACATGCAGGATCACAGCATTTCTCTACCAGCTACAGACACTGATGTTAAACACATTAGTGACTATGCACCACAGAAAGATTTTTACAGTAAAGGGAAGCAGAAAAGTAACTTAAATTCTTTAGCACTGGGATTATACAGTGTTTAAAAATGGCTTTCTATTGTTTTGGCAGCTGAAATGTCTGCAAGTGAAAAGACTAGACACACTTCCCTTTAGTGCTTCCAATTATTTGGCTTAGGCTGGCTGGGTAGGCTTTTCTGTATCTGCCAGAGCACTGGCTGACTGGCCTTCATAATGGACATTGTCATGGAAAAACTCTGGCTTTTCAGTGTTTTCTTCATTGTTTATTTCTCCCTCAGTCTGGAGAAGAGACACACAGTCATTTCCTGATTTACAGGGAATTAATTTCATCATTCTGATGTGTTTGAGTCTCAGATTTTGCTGAAGACTGCTTATACTGAAATGAAAATAAATCCTCTGTTTTTTTTCTTTCTCTGAGATCTTCACATAGAAGCTGAGGATGTAAAGGAAGGCAGCTTGTTGCTTGCATGTACATTTTATTGACTATAATGAAAAAGCAAATAATCAAAAGTTACAGCAAGGAAAGGGGCTGCACAGGCTCATGTTCTCATGGTCCAGTACCACTTCTCCGTGCCCAGAAGACTCACTTGTATTGAGATGTCTGCATGAAATGGGCCCACAGTTTAAAGAAATCTGACAAAAACACGAGTCTCCACGCTTTTTATGTCCATGACAACCTGTCCTTCTGCCTTCTTTCTGATTGTGAGGTTGATATTTTCAAAGATTCTCAAGATTTGAACACTGTCTTTCCATTAAATTTGCTAGTATTTTGACATTGAAACTTTTGACAGTTCTAAAAATCTCTCAGTGAAAGATTTTGATGGCAGAGAGGTTCTTGTATACATCTCAAAGGTGAGCAGAAACAATCCTACCCCATGTTAACATACCAAAATTATTTACAATATATTATTATATAAT